TTGTGGGGGGACATAAACATTCAGTTGACATGGGAGCTTGGACCAGGGTGAATGAATATGAAACAATCTGTTTACCTTGGGCTGTGACTCTATGTATCAATAGTGCATGTGGGCTGTGAGCTCAGTGTGTCCTATGCATGATCAAAGGAAGCTTGCAGTGTACCTCATGAGATGGGGATGGAGGAGGTAGAGGTGTGAACCCTGAGAAGGCCAAAGGGATGTGAGGGCCACCTTGTGGTGACAGTGATGTGCCTACCCTGGGAACTCAGTGGTAAACAGTAGCCCAGTACATGCTGCATGGGATCAGTGAGCTGCACTGCTCAGAATACTCCAGGCCAAAGGTGAAATGAGATGTACAGGGCAGGGCTGGACTGTCCCTCCTCCATGGTCCTGGCCCACAGCCTGGAGAAGCAAGCCCAGGACCGGAAGTGCAGTCCATGCTAAGCATTCGGTCTGTGCTGGGAGAGCCAGGGATGTTCTCTGGTTGTTCTGACCTCCAAGCCAGCCTTAGCCAGGCAGCCAGACCACCCAGGGAGGTGCTGGAATGCAGGTGGAGATCACCCCTCCCTGGGACCTGTGTAAGCCTCCAGCCTGGGCTGAGGCTAGCCTATGATGTGTCAGGCAAAGTCTCTCCTAAGCACAGGCATGCCGTGGTATTTATTGGACACATCAGCACTGTGTTAACAATTTGCCTACAGGGTCTCCTTCTATCTCTACAACAATCCTGCAAATAGGAACTTCCCTGGGGGCTCTGCCGAATGAGGTAGAACCTCCATAGTTGACCACCTCCCTACATTGACTACTACCTTAAATCGACCTCATTTTCATGGACTGGAAAAGCACCACATGTACATATCTGTACAATAGGCCTACTTCCTTATGTTGATCACTTACATATGCTTATCAGTTTGTTATAGTGCCTTTGGTGGTCGACTCACAGAGGCTGTATGTATAATTCCTTTGCCCTCAGGTCTACTGTCCATCCTGGTCTGTGTCCTGGGAGACTGACTTACCTCTGACTTGTGGCTGGGCTTGGGCAATGGGAGCCACTGGCATTAGCAGGAAATGAGAGAGTGAAGTTGGGGGGCTTATTTGGTTGCTGTGGTTGGATGTATCCCAGAGCTGCTATCCACTGTTACCCTGGTATTAGCCCCATGGTACTGCAGTACCCCTGGTGGGTTTCCTCAATCATGCCCAAGTCTTTGAAAGTCTGGGAGAATCTCCTTAAAGATACTGGATTTGAATGTGCCATCTGTTTTCTGCTGTATTGATGACAAGACTGAGGCTCTGAAAGCCTGCCCAAGGTGCAGTGTGGAGAAGCTGTCCTCATGAAGGAGTTGAACTCTGATTCATGGGTGTGGGGAACAGTGGCAGCCCAGCCCTGGGCCCTTTCTACTTACTGGCTTATCCACCCCCTGACTGACCATTTGTGAGGGCAAAGGTGGATCACTGCCTATTCTGTCTACATGATGACCTTGCTGTCTTTGGCTCCTGGTTCCTGGCCTTGGCTCTGCTAGTCACTGAACGTTCCTCTGGG